CGCGCTCCGGGCAGGAAAAAAAAAAATTCGTGGTGGTGGGCCCTAGGAATCGTTCCCACTAGGGAACCTGCTCGATACCATGAGAAGAAACGAGGAATGAAATGACTAAGTGAAAGTTGGGAACAAAAAGCAAACCCTAGAAAACTGTACCCCATATGTGCTACCCCACTATAGCCTACAGTAGCTATGTCATATAAATCTGACATTTATTCGACAATTCCATATCGTAAGACTCCCCTTCTTTCCTGGAGGAGCGAAGTCTTGACGCGCTTGGATATACCGCAGATGTTTGCACAGTGCTGGTACTGCTAACGTGGCAGCTTCTTGGTGAGGAAGACGGCTGCCATGTCTCCGGTGGGGCAGTAAGTCAAGATGACCTTGCCCTTGTCAACTTTGTCTTTGACGAAGAAGTAGCGGAGTGCGATGTGCTTGGTGTGGTTGACGAAGCCGGGTTTGTTCGCGATCTTGATTGCGCTCTGGTTGTCGTAGTGAAGTTTGAAGTTCGCAAATGTCACAATTTTTGCCTCGTAAAGTAGCTCCTGGAGGTAAGTCCTTCGAGAAGAGCTTACATGGTAGCGATGAACTCGGCCTCAGCAGAAGAGAGCGCCACCATTTCTTGCTTCTGTGATTTCCAGGAGATTGGTCTGGTGGGTTCGAGGCGAAACAGAAAACCTGTCCGGGACCGTCGATTTGCAGGATCGGCGGCATGATCAGCGTTCACGTAGCCAACGAGACTAAAGGCACGGGTCGTAAGAGTTGAGTAGGTAAGCCCAATGTGCGGTGTGAAAATGAAGTGCTGCAGAGTGCGCTGCAGGTCTAGCATATTCACCCCTTTAGGTTGCTTGGCATACTGAGCGAGTTGGCTCGAGATGTAGGACAAGTCAGGCCTGCATGTGACTGCAGCGAAGAGGAGGCAGCCGAGCTGTTTCTGTAGAGATGGTGACCGGATGGGTTGAGTGGGGTGGTGTTGGGAGTGTGTGGGTAGGTTGGGGAGCAGTAGGGGGTGGAGAGGTTTGCCGGGTTGATGTTGAATTTTGCAGACAGAGTCTCGGCGTACTTGGCGGCGGAGAGATGGATGGCGTCTGTTGCGTAGGAGGTGTTGAGTCCCAGGAATTGGGTGTCATGGTCGGTGCTGGTGATTTCGACGAGGTTGCTGATGTTTTTTTCGAACTGAGCAAGAAGCTCAGTGCTGGTGCCGGTGTACAGGAGGTCGTCCACATATGCTGTGAGAAGGATGTAATCGATGCGAAAGTAAAGGCGATACATGCCAGGATCGTGGGGCAGCTGGGTGAAGCCGATCTCGAGGAGGATTTGGTGAAGGTGCTGCTGCTAGAGACGCGGCGCGTGCTTGAGGCCGTAAAAATATTTCTTGAGTTGACACACGCGGTCGTCGCCGTCGCCATAGGTGTGAGGTTGCTTGACAAAGATGCGGGTATCGCGGAGCGGGAAGTGCTTTGCAGCTGCGATGGCGAGGAGGATGCGGACGGAGGTATGGCGGCTGACGGGAGCGAAGGTTTGGTCGAAATCAATGCCGTGGCGTTGGTCAAATCCGCGCATGACCCAGCGGGCTTTCCAGCGTTTGATGGTTCCTTTGTTAAACTATACTTGTTAGAGTTTGTTAATGTAGTCTAGATATTACAATGAGTTATGCAGTAGAGGGTACAACCCCCCATTAGGGGTTTGCTATATGTTTCCTTGTACTACTTCGGGCTAGTCATTCATTCCAACGTTTCTATCTTGACATGGTATACAGCGAGTTTTGTTCTTATAGGCCCACCACCTCGCGCCCCGCCCATTGCTCGCAGCCCGTAGGCGCCAAAGCCCGCCGTCCCGACGTGCCCCGTAGCCCGACACGAGCCTGTCGTTTGTCCTGTACCGCAGCCCCTACGGGATCTTCGTTTGTCCCGTAGTGCTGCCCCTCGCGGCCCCTCGTACGTCCCGTAGCCCCCCCCCCCCCCCCCCCTCCCTCTCCCCCGCGGCCCTTACGTTCGTCCAGTCGTACGCCCCCCCTGCGGACCCCTCGTTTGTCCCGTTGCGCGGCCCCCCGTGGGCCTCCCGTTCGTCCCACAGCGCGGCCCTCGCGAACCTCGTTCGTCCAGTAGCGTGGCGCCCCTCTCCCCCCTCCCCCCCCCCCCCCTCCCCCCGCGGGCGCTCTCGTTGCACCTAGGTCACACGTCACCCAGTGCCCATCGCGTCACTTGTTGCCCGTCGCCCATAACCCTATCGCCCGTCGCCCTTAGATTGCGTCAGCGCCCATAACCCTAGCCCGTCCCTCGCCCGTCGCCTCTGTCCGTCGCCCGTCTATAGCCCTCGTCACCCGTTTGTCGCCATACCCGAGTGCTGCTGCAACCGCTCGTACCGTCGCTAGCAGCAGCAGCAGCGCGCGCCGCATGCCAGCACGATCAGCAGCAACTGCAGCGCACCGCCCCACGCCAGCGCGAGCAGCAGCAGTGCGACCCTATAAGCAGCTAGCGCCAGCAGCAGCCGCCCGTGCCTTCGCTAATCTTGCCGAGACCGCTCTCTACTGCAATGGACCGCTCCCCACCACACTAAACCGCACCTGACCGGCCTAAACCATATCCAACCGCCCATGCCTTTGCTACGTTCTGCCCGTCAGCTCCCCACCACCCTAGACCACTTCCTATCGCACTATACCGCTTTCCACCGCATTAGAACACTCCCCACTGCACTAGATCACTCCCCGCCGCACTAGACCGCATCCGACCACACCCGGCCGTACCCTACTGCACCTGACCGCTCCTAGTCGCTCCCAACCGCACTAGACCGCCCCCCACCGCACTAGACTACGCCAAACCGCTCACAAACGCATCCGACCGATTTTCAACTGCTTCCCACCGCACTAGACCACTCCCTACTGCACTAGACCACTCCCCCCGCACTCGTTGGCACCTCCCTGATGGGGAAATTTTTTTCCCAGATTTATTCTGAAGTCATTTCGGCAAAAAAATCGTTAGTCTGATTGGTCAGTGTTCTGAAGTCAGGAAATCTGACTAGTCAGGGTCGGCGGGTCTGCATCATGCAACATGCTCATGTTGGCGGCGTTCTGGTGTTTTTGTCACGTGCAGCGCATGGTTGTTTCTGCTGATCGCATTTCGTTTCGTCGTGTGTGTGATTACCGTTATGTACCCATTTTCTCGCCTGTGTGCCGATTTTGTCAATTTTGGATTTGCGTTTCAAGCGATGCGATCGTTCACCCGATCTGGTTGTTGTCACGTACCAGGTGGGCCAAGTGCCACGCAGCTGAGCTGGCAGCAGGCAGAAACTGTTGCTTGGCGTGGCGTGTGAGCATCTAGCAGTGCCGCACAAAACTTTCACTACGAATCAGGAGCTTCACAATTTCACAACAGTGCGTGCTACAGATGTTTTTACAACGAATCAGCATCAAAATCGCCTATTCTTTACAATACATTAGCAATAACTTACATGTGACAAGATTTTGTCTTAGAAATCTCGTAATCACGCAACCATTTTCTTAGCGTAACTGGGAGATATTCTCGACGAACGAGTGTATTCAGATGTCCCAGCTGTTGAAGTGTGCCTTGCTCACGTCCTGGCACTCCAGTGCCATCTCGGAAGTGGGCATATCGAAACGAAATTTCTTAGACTTCAGACTAGGTACAAAAAAAAAAAAGCCGGAACGGACTCTGAATCACCCTAAAAAGTCTGATATCCAAGCATATTTTTAAGCATTTGTATTGTGAAAGCGCAGCTGACTGTAGCGCAGCAAGGCAACTGCGAATTAGTATTTGCCAAATATATAAGAAGGTTGGAGGCCATTTGGCCTCCACCCACGTCTTCATTTCGGAACTTTGCAGTTCCACTCCCCACCCACCCACCCTGATATGTACATGTATTATTTATACCGTATTCTCCCGGATATAGGACCCTCCCGAAAAAAAGACCCCCGGGACTTTTGAACGGTACTGGGACTCTTAATATGTAGCACATGTGAGGGGACCCCCCTTTTGCTACAAAACATTTTAAGACCCCCCTTTTCTGTATACAGTAGTTAAATATAAATATGCGCGTCAGCTTTTAGAGGCACAGAATCCGAAATTTGACGCGTCATTTGTGTCAGAATCGGGTTCTGACACACCAATCGTGTCGGACACGAGATCTGACGTTTCTGACGCGCCGCTCGCGCGAATTTCGCGCATGCGAGATTTTTCGGTTCGAACATAAGACCCCCCCCCCCCCCCCCCCCCCCCCTTTCAAATTCGGGTGTACACCCCTAAATCGCATAAGTGTACTTGATTAATAAGTGTACCCGGGACTCTTACAACTCGTGCCGATTAAATGTTCACCCTAGTCATTTTGCCTCTATTTTAGGAAAGTCCCCCGGGTCTTATATCCGGGAGAATACGGTAGTTGGATGAGAATGTTGTAATTACTGCAATTCTAATGAAGCATGTTCTACGGTAATGAAGCACGTTGTCATTGCAAGAACAGAAAGCAAGCTTTCTCAATGTTTTTTTTTTTTTTTTTCTTGAAACGGCATCCCTGTTGCGCACGTATGAATAGCATGTGCCGGTTGCAATCAGTTACCCAATCAACGCATGATCTCTCCACATATCCATTCCTGAGCACAGTACTCCAGGCGTTTCAGGAAACAGGTGAAATGTGTTGGGGGCGATGAGGGCACAGCTCAGGTGGCCTGGCAGCTCAGGTGGCCTGGCAGCTCAGGTGGCCTGGCAGCTGCATGGAGGACTGGGTGCGGACTGAAGTGTTGCAGGGGGGCCGTTGAGGGGCGAAGGGGGCTAGAGGCAGGTGAGGGCGAAGTGCAGGAGGGGGATGAAGGCGTTGTCGAGCTGGTGGGTGAACGCCTCCAGCAGCGCAGAGAAGACGCACGCCACCACGCTCGCTGTCATGGGCGCCTGCTGGGGGGACAGGGTGATGGGTTTGGTGCTGTGGGGTGTGAGACAAGGACCAGTGCTGTGAGCAGCAAGGCAACAGAGAGAGAGAGAGCGAGGCGTGCGTACCTGTAGTAGATTGGAAAACAGCAATTGGTGAAGCGCAGCAGCAGAGGCATCATGGACGGGTGCAAGGGGAGGCGGCAGCAGAGAGAGCAGCAGCAGCGAGGCGGCGAGCATGGCAGCAGCAGCGGCGGCGGTGCCCTGCCATGACTTGGGCGAGTCTGATGCCACTCGCTGCCGCCCCCACCGCACCCCCACCACCGATGCCTGCACGCAGGGCAGGGCCGTGGGGTAGGGGTGTGGTTCAGAAGTGTGGGATGGGGAAAGCGATGGGAAGGGCACAACAAGAGCAGGAAGGGACAAGTGGAGGAAGGGGTGTGAGGTGCATGCAGCAGAAGAGCAGAGGGGAGCGGGAAGGGAAGGTCAGAATGACGTGTGTGCAAAGAGTGCAGGCAATCAAAGCAACCGAGGGCAGTGGAGTCTCACACAGCAAAGCCCCACTCCCCCCTGCTCCACCCCTGCCCCGCCCCTGCCCCACACCCCCATGCCCCCCTCCCTACTGGACTGGTCCTCTCAGTGCCACGCTCCCCCTGCCGTGACCCACCATGGTATCCCCTATGCCGACACTCAGCAGCCCCGCAAAGGGTGCCACGTGGCAGGCTTGGATTGGCGAGTGCGAGGAAGAGAGGAAGGCGGGCGGGGTGAGGGAGAGAGGCAGCATGCAGGCGAGTAGCAGAGAGAAGTGGCTGCAGACAGGAAGGAGGAGCGGGGAAAGGGGGAGGGCGGAGGTGGAGAGGGGAAGGGGGAGGGGGAGGGTGGAGGGAGTAGGGAGGGGGGAGGGGGGGTGACGAGAGGGGAGGATGTGCACGTGACTGTGAAACAGATAGAAACAATGACGAGAAGAGAACGGGGAGAAAGGGGCGGACGAGGATGAGGGTGTGAGAGGGAGCAATGAGTGGTGGGTGGGGAAGGGAGGGCAGGAGGAGGAAAGGATGAGGAGGCAGACGGGGTTGGCCTTTGGGGGGTGAGAAAATTTTGCCAACGAGCCCAATGAGCCTAGAAGAGCCCAATGAGCCTAGAAGAGCCGATGGCTTCTGATTGAACTGCTGGAATGGAGGCACCGCAAGGCAGCCACACGAAGAAGACCAGAGCCGAATGCACAACACCAAAGCTGGACTCACCTGATACTAACCTAAGAAATGTAAGGGCTTAGGGCTGTCATCACCTGAGAATGAGCGGGCTGGCATCACCTGAGAATGAGTGGGCCGGCGTCGCGGGCGTCAGTGAAGGGGCGAAGGAAGGCCTCCAGGGGGGCCGAGAGTGGCGGAATGCCCTGGTACTGCCATGGGGGGACAGGGGGGATGGCAGCAGGGGGGAGGGGATGACAGCAGGGGGGATGGCAGCAGGGGGGATGACAGGACCACGAAGCATAGACATGGATGTACTGTTACAGTGTTAAGTAGTTCTCGGTCTTCTTACACAGATTCTCATCCTAGACAGTTTGAGATGCGGAAAACCCCACAAACAAACTTGGCGAAAATCCCATTGCAAACTGGTAGGGTTGAGCAAGTTTCGACCCTGGTTTCAAGGCGACTCACTCTCATGGCTTCAAGGCGACTCACTCTCATGGCTTCAAGGCGACTCACTCTCATGGCTTCAAGGCGACTCACTCTCATGGCTTCAAGGCGACTCACTCTCATGGCTTCAAGGCGACTCACTCTCATGGCTTCAAGGCGACTCACTCTCGTGGCTTCAAGGCGACTCACTCTCGTGGCTTCAAGGCGACTCACTCTCATGGCTTCAAGGCGACTCACTCTCATGGCTTCAAGGCGACTCACTCTCGTGGCTTCAAGGCGACTCACTCTCGTGGCTTCAAGGCGACTCACTCTCGTGGCTTCAAGGCGACTCACTCTCGTGGCTTCAAGGCGACTCACTCTCATGGCTTCAAGGCGACTCACTCTCGTGGCTTCAAGGCGACTCACTCTCATGGCTTCAAGGCGACTCACTCTCATGGCTTCAAGGCGACTCACTCTCGTGGCTTCAAGGCGACTCACTCTCGTGGCTTCAAGGCGACTCACTCTCATGGCTTCAAGGCGACTCACTCTCATGGCTTCAAGGCGACTCACTCTCATGGCTTCAAGGCGACTCACTCTCATGGCTTCAAGGCGACTCACTCTCGTGGCTTCAAGGCGACTCACTCTCATGGCTTCAAGGCGACTCACTCTCGTGGCTTCAAGGCGACTCACTCTCGTGGCTTCAAGGCGACTCACTCTCATGGCTTCAAGGCGACTCACTCTCATGGCTTCAAGGCGACTCACTCTCATGGCTTCAAGGCGACTCACTCTCATGGCTTCAAGGCGACTCACTCTCGTGGCTTCAAGGCGAGTCACTCTCATGGCTTCAAGGCGACTCACTCTCATGGCTTCAAGGCGACTCACTCTCATGGCTTCAAGGCGACTCACTCTCATGGCTTCAAGGCGACTCACTCTCATGGCTTCAAGGCGACTCACTCTCATGGCTTCAAGGCGACTCACTCTCATGGCTTCAAGGCGACTCACTCTCATGGCTTCAAGGCGACTCACTCTCGTGGCTTCAAGGCGACTCACTCTCGTGGCTTCAAGGCGACTCACTCTCATGGCTTCAAGGCGACTCACTCTCGTGGCTTCAAGGCGACTCACTCTCGTGGCTTCAAGGCGACTCACTCTCGTGGCTTCAAGGCGACTCACTCTCGTGGCTTCAAGGCGACTCACTCTCATGGCTTCAAGGTGACTCACTCTCATGGCTTCAAGGCGACTCACTCTTGTGGCTTCAAGGCGACTCACTCTCATGGCTTCAAGGCGACTCACTCTCATGGCTTCAAGGCGACTCACTCTCATGGCTTCAAGGCGACTCACTCTCATGGCTTCAAGGCGACTCACTCTCATGGCTTCAAGGCGACTCACTCTCATGGCTTCAAGGCGACTCACTCTCATGGCTTCAAGGCGACTCACTCTCATGGCTTCAAGGCGACTCACTCTCGTGGCTTCAAGGCGACTCACTCTCGTGGCTTCAAGGCGACTCACTCTCGTGGCTTCAAGGCAACTCACTCTCGTGGCTTCAAGGCGACTCACTCTCATGGCTTCAAGGCGACTCACTCTCATGGCTTCAAGGCGACTCACTCTCGTGGCTTCAAGGCGACTCACTCTCGTGGCTTCAAGGCGACTCACTCTCGTGGCTTCAAGGCGACTCACTCTCGTGGCTTCAAGGCGACTCACTCTCGTGGCTTCAAGGCGACTCACTCTCATGGCTTCAAGGCGACTCACTCTCATGGCTTCAAGGCGACTCACTCTCGTGGCTTCAAGGCGACTCACTCTCGTGGCTTCAAGGCGACTCACTCTCGTGGCTTCAAGGCGACTCACTCTCGTGGCTTCAAGGCGACTCACTCTCATGGCTTCAAGGCGACTCACTCTCATGGCTTCAAGGCGACTCACTCTCATGGCTTCAAGGCGACTCACTCTCGTGGCTTCAAGGCGACTCACTCTCGTGGCTTCAAGGCGACTCACTCTCGTGGCTTCAAGGCGACTCACTCTCGTGGCTTCAAGGCGACTCACTCTCATGGCTTCAAGGCGACTCACTCTCATGGCTTCAAGGCGACTCACTCTCATGGCTTCAAGGCGACTCACTCTCATGGCTTCAAGGCGACTCACTCTCATGGCTTCAAGGCGACTCACTCTCATGGCTTCAAGGCGACTCACTCTCATGGCTTCAAGGCGACTCACTCTCGTGGCTTCAAGGCGACTCACTCTCGTGGCTTCAAGGCGACTCACTCTCGTGGCTTCAAGGCGACTCACTCTCATGGCTTCAAGGCGACTCACTCTCATGGCTTCAAGGCGACTCACTCTCATGGCTTCAAGGCGACTCACTCTCGTGGCTTCAAGGCGACTCACTCTCGTGGCTTCAAGGCGACTCACTCTCGTGGCTTCAAGGCGACTCACTCTCGTGGCTTCAAGGCGACTCACTCTCATGGCTTCAAGGCGACTCACTCTCATGGCTTCAAGGCGACTCACTCTCGTGGCTTCAAGGCGACTCACTCTCGTGGCTTCAAGGCGACTCACTCTCGTGGCTTCAAGGCGACTCACTCTCATGGCTTCAAGGCGACTCACTCTCATGGCTTCAAGGCGACTCACTCTCATGGCTTCAAGGCGACTCACTCTCATGGCTTCAAGGCGACTCACTCTCATGGCTTCAAGGCGACTCACTCTCATGGCTTCAAGGCGACTCACTCTCATGGCTTCAAGGCGACTCACTCTCATGGCTTCAAGGCGACTCAATCTCATGGCTTCAAGGCGACTCACTCTCATGGCTTCAAGGCGACTCAATCTCATGGCTTCAAGGCGACTCACTCTCATGGCTTCAAGGCGACTCACTCTCATGGCTTCAAGGCGACTCACTCTCATGGCTTCAAGGCGACTCACTCTCATGGCTTCAAGGCGACTCACTCTCATGGCTTCAAGGCGACTCACTCTCGTGGCTTCAAGGCGACTCACTCTCGTGGCTTCAAGGCGACTCACTCTCATGGCTTCAAGGCGACTCACTCTCATGGCTTCAAGGCGACTCACTCTCATGGCTTCAAGGCGACTCACTCTCATGGCTTCAAGGCGACTCACTCTCATGGCTTCAAGGCGACTCACTCTCATGGCTTCAAGGCGACTCACTCTCATGGCTTCAAGGCGACTCACTCTCGTGGCTTCAAGGCGACTCACTCTCGTGGCTTCAAGGCGACTCACTCTCATGGCTTCAAGGCGACTCACTCTCATGGCTTCAAGGCGACTCACTCTCGTGGCTTCAAGGCGACTCACTCTCGTGGCTTCAAGGCGACTCACTCTCGTGGCTTCAAGGCGACTCACTCTCGTGGCTTCAAGGCGACTCACTCTCATGGCTTCAAGGCGACTCACTCTCGTGGCTTCAAGGCGACTCACTCTCATGGCTTCAAGGCGACTCACTCTCATGGCTTCAAGGCGACTCACTCTCGTGGCTTCAAGGCGACTCACTCTCGTGGCTTCAAGGCGACTCACTCTCATGGCTTCAAGGCGACTCACTCTCATGGCTTCAAGGCGACTCACTCTCATGGCTTCAAGGCGACTCACTCTCATGGCTTCAAGGCGACTCACTCTCGTGGCTTCAAGGCGACTCACTCTCATGGCTTCAAGGCGACTCACTCTCGTGGCTTCAAGGCGACTCACTCTCGTGGCTTCAAGGCGACTCACTCTCATGGCTTCAAGGCGACTCACTCTCATGGCTTCAAGGCGACTCACTCTCATGGCTTCAAGGCGACTCACTCTCATGGCTTCAAGGCGACTCACTCTCGTGGCTTCAAGGCGAGTCACTCTCATGGCTTCAAGGCGACTCACTCTCATGGCTTCAAGGCGACTCACTCTCATGGCTTCAAGGCGACTCACTCTCATGGCTTCAAGGCGACTCACTCTCATGGCTTCAAGGCGACTCACTCTCATGGCTTCAAGGCGACTCACTCTCATGGCTTCAAGGCGACTCACTCTCATGGCTTCAAGGCGACTCACTCTCGTGGCTTCAAGGCGACTCACTCTCGTGGCTTCAAGGCGACTCACTCTCATGGCTTCAAGGCGACTCACTCTCGTGGCTTCAAGGCGACTCACTCTCGTGGCTTCAAGGCGACTCACTCTCGTGGCTTCAAGGCGACTCACTCTCGTGGCTTCAAGGCGACTCACTCTCATGGCTTCAAGGTGACTCACTCTCATGGCTTCAAGGCGACTCACTCTTGTGGCTTCAAGGCGACTCACTCTCATGGCTTCAAGGCGACTCACTCTCATGGCTTCAAGGCGACTCACTCTCATGGCTTCAAGGCGACTCACTCTCATGGCTTCAAGGCGACTCACTCTCATGGCTTCAAGGCGACTCACTCTCATGGCTTCAAGGCGACTCACTCTCATGGCTTCAAGGCGACTCACTCTCATGGCTTCAAGGCGACTCACTCTCGTGGCTTCAAGGCGACTCACTCTCGTGGCTTCAAGGCGACTCACTCTCGTGGCTTCAAGGCAACTCACTCTCGTGGCTTCAAGGCGACTCACTCTCATGGCTTCAAGGCGACTCACTCTCATGGCTTCAAGGCGACTCACTCTCGTGGCTTCAAGGCGACTCACTCTCGTGGCTTCAAGGCGACTCACTCTCGTGGCTTCAAGGCGACTCACTCTCGTGGCTTCAAGGCGACTCACTCTCGTGGCTTCAAGGCGACTCACTCTCATGGCTTCAAGGCGACTCACTCTCATGGCTTCAAGGCGACTCACTCTCGTGGCTTCAAGGCGACTCACTCTCGTGGCTTCA